GATCTCTTGTTGCCCCAGCGCACCACTTAGCCAATGTCTCCGATTCTCACATCCAATTTCAGTGGGCCAAAAGTTGAAGAATTGCAGCGCAGGCAAAACGAAACATGTTTCTGTATTTTTTTTTTTTTTTTTAATTCAAATGCGCAATTAAAAATAAGTAAAAACATTTTTGAAAAATCAGCAAAAAGAACAAACATGTTGCAAATAATTTGTGTAAATTATAATACCAATTAAAAATGTATAGGCTGGGGTATGGTAGGCTTCAAGAATTGGTTCTTGTTATCAGAGAAGTAATTATTGATTGTGAACTTTTAACTGTTAACTGCATATCTATTTTCTTATTGAGAATGATTTTATCCAGACTTGAAAACGAATTTAGAGTATCTTCTAGTCGAGTTAACCCCACGCCTCAAGCACTGCCACTTGTTTACGTACAAGTTTGTGAAATATTGCGGCTAAAAATTTATGATTTGTGTAGGATTCTTTATAGATTATCAGCCAATTGCACGAATCAAATACATTTATTAAACAAAAGAGTTGAATTTACTGCAAAAACCAATGACTTTGTAGGAAAAAACCATGGAAAAACAATAAAAATTTTCTTAGAATTGATTCGAATTTTTTATTGATTTTCCGTTAGACAAAATGATGAACCATTTAGAGAGCTCAGCCAGGCGAAAATGGGCCATCAGAAGCCATAAAACAAAAATAGCGAGAGCTTTTCCTAACTTTTCTATACATCTTTGCATATGTAGACATATTTCTATATTTTTTTCTTCTTTTTGTCACCCACACTGATAATATTTAATTATCAATCTGTTTGACAGACATTTATGATACAAGTTTTGTAAGTGAGGGAGATCTATTTGTTACCTTTTAGTTTTTTTGGTGTCCATTGAAAGTTCCATAACATGAAACTGGCGCATAAATTTGTAAAGTAATCACAGCTAGGAAAATGATGCTCAGGCAGGTTTTCCAACGTTTAAACACGACAACAATAATAATAATTATAATAAGAGAGAATATTCCGAATACAAAGCGCAAATAATTGGCACAATAATGTTTCTTCTTGTTTCTTCTTGTGGTTGTGTCTGTCTTTCCCTCTCACTCACTGTCTCTATCTGTGTGTGTGTGTGTGTGTGTGTGTAGGTGGAAAGGGGGCAGATGATTAAATAAACGCTGGCATTTGTAAGTACACGTAATTAGAGGCACGTGAGCTGTGTTGCTCTATCTAAACACACATTATATTTATGAGAAGTAATTAATTTCGCGTCGATATTCGTTCTTCCCTCGCAGGATTATTTGTTGTAATTTTTGCTGTTGTTGCTGCTGGTTGCTATTGTTGATAAGAACAGGCCATACAGCACATAAATGTGTCACCACAAAGCGAACGTATTTTAAGACTTGCGGGCCGAGATTAGATCGTATATAAAACGAAAATAACAACAAAATCACAAAGAGCTACAACAAATTCAGCTGTTCGTTAGTTTTTTGACGTCACTCATATAATTATAAATATAAATAATAACGATTATTTGTAATTTTACAGCTTTTTTCGAAATTCAGCTTGATGTATTGTATTTATTGTGTTTATAATGCTTCTTTATGCTAATGAGCCCGTTTAAAGGCGTCTCAAAAAAATGAGCTCAGCGCTTTGAATTTGAAATCGACATATGACGCTGATGACAGCAAGAACAACAACATCAGCAACAAGAACACAATAACAAAATCGACAGCAATAATACAAAATTCGGTTGTCAAATTACAATTTCGAGTCAATTTAACGCATTTATTTATATATTTGCGCGATCATTTATATATTTATAGGTGTGTGCAGCACATATATCTTCACGTTCACATCGCACACTAAACACAATTTCTGTCGGCTAAAACAAAAACACACAATTTATATATTTATATATACATATGCTCATATATGATATATGTGTGTGTACAAAAAAAAAAAATATATATAAATCTCAATACACAAACGTCGAAAACGTAAAATGCTAAAATGCGAGGCGAACTCTGGCGACGACTAATTTCGACTGCGGCGAAAACGCGCGCGGCTCGCAGCCCAAAAAAAAGTTCCAAGCAGCGTCAGAATCAGCAGCAGCAGCGAAAGGCAGCGACGTCAACAACAACAAATACGACCAATAAGTAATCAAAAAAAAAATAAATAAAAGCAAACGTAAAACAAAAACAAAAAAAAGGCTGAGCGAAAATCGCGCGCGCTCGCAAATTGAAAGCACAAAATCAAAACAAACGATAATTGTATATTTAAAAATATGATTAAACACAAGAGACAGAAAGAGATAGACAGAGAGAGAGAGAGAAGTAGCGAGAGCAGCAAGTGTGCCAAAGAGCGTGTAAGTGTGTGAGGTAAGTGTGAAACAGCTGTTGAGAGCGGCGAATTGGAAAAAGCCGCACAGCAATAAAAAGTAACAACAACTCAATCAGCTGAGCAAGTGGCGTCGACTGCGACGCCGACGACGCCAGCGACAGCGTCGGCAATTCTAAAGCACAATGATTGGCATTATTTATAGTTGTTGCTTGTTCTTCGGTTTTGTTCTCGTTTGTTTTCACTAATATTTCGGATATTAACATAAATTCGATAAAAACAACAACGAACAACCAACAACATTGCAATTAGCTCAGAACGAGGTAGTTCATAGGTTGTTATGGCACTTAGCACAAACACAAACAAATGGTTCCGTAATTTTGTTGTACGCCGCGTATGCGTAATCGCATACAAATGCACAATTGAAGGCTAAGAAAAAAGGCGTCGCGGCTTACATTGTATAACCCGTTCTCTCGACTTTGTACGCCCCCAAGCTATTGTTTATTACATAAATCATCTTGAAGTGTATTTGTGTATTTATTTTGTTTGTATTTGCGTTCGAGTGCGCACAAATTTCTAAACAAATATTTGCAATTTTTTGTTTGTTTTCAATTTGTATTCGATTTGCTTTGTTTGTTATATTTCGCAAGGCTTTGCTAATCATGCAAACTGTACAATTTTTGTAACAATAAACAACCAAGTTGATTATTAACTGTGGAAGCCGTAATAAAAAGAGAAACAAATTACAAATGCACAAAAAGGAAAAAGGTTCGGGAATTAGCACATTATTTCGTAAATGCATCCCTCTCTCTCTCTCTCTCTCTCTAACTCTCTAACTTATATGAGCGCGTATAAGTGTTAGTTAACGGGTTTTATTGCAAATTACATCACGCCCACGCCATATAAATTGCCAAAAACAACAACAAAATGCAAAAAACACACGCGATGACGAACACGCGACCGGAACGCGCCTTTACACACGAAGAAGAAAAAACAAATAAAGGAAGAACCAGAGAAAAGCAGAGAGAACGCACTGCAACTTGACACTTGGCGCGTTGACAAACAAATGAGCTTTTGAAGCCTCAGGACAGCGACTGCGACTACGACTGCGACGGCGACGACGACCGCGACGACGACCGCGACGACTACAACTGAAACACAGACGGAGACTGAGCTAGAATCGCACAACTTATGCAATTGGCACAGGTGCCGCACTCAGAGCTCACTCGACATTTGACTTTTGGCGAGCAGCGACGAAAATTCTGCCTTTACTATTTTTTGTTTTCTTCTTCTAATTTTGCACCAGCAGCAGCTGAGAACATCCGTTGGATAAGTGCCAGAGGTTGTGACCAAACTGACTGACGTTCTTGCTTATTGTGAATGTCATTATCAAGGTTTATGTTTTCGGCGTCCATTGTCTGTTTGTGAATGAAATGCCATCACAGCGAATTGAGAGGAGAGCGAGCAGACACGCACACGCACACACTCGCAGTATATTTACGACTAGGTCTAGGTCAATGCAGTGTCCAAATGCGCGTGTATTGGTGATCATCTCTCAATTTTAAATGCCTTGCAATTTTACTCTTCTCCTGCTCTCAACCGTCGGCTATGTGTGTGCGCGAAGGAGAGGAAAACATGCGCTCATATCCAACTGTAAGTGGCAACGGTAAATAACAGCCCCCGATGTCAAAGCTCAATAAAGAGCAGAGCCATAAATGATGGCAGTGCCAAAGAACAATGACCACACAAATACACACTGGAAGAGGCATATGTAAATGGATTGGCTGTTCCGACATGGGCATTATTTGTATATAGAGAGCAGAGCAGGCGCAATTAAAGTGAATCATCGGTTAGCAAATGAGGAAATAAGCAAGACAGGGGCAAAAGCGCCGACGCAGAGTACTAAACAAGGTGCAAGTAGTACCAGGTGGTAAGGCACACACACACACTCGCATTAACGCACACTCATGCACCAAAACAGATAAAAATGCACACTTGATATGAGGGCGTAAACAATTAGCAGCGACGTCAGCGGCAATTAAAAAACGAGTGTAAGAGAAACAACAAAAGGGGGCTGCACCCAGACGGAGCTAATTGAATCGCACCAAAATAGAACTCACCTGCAAAGATTGGGCGTGAGCTGACGCCATCCAGAAATGCATCCAGCTCCATCAATTGATCCATGCCTGCTTTTCAGACCACAAAACACTTGCGTACACAATTTTTAATACACTAAGTGGCTGCCATCTTTGTTTTCTCGGAGTGCATTCAGTTCTGCCCCGTCCGAAACGCGGCGACGGCGGCGGGCAACGGCACCAGCACTTGGCAGTGAATGAAACAAAGTTAAATGCAATTATTGGCGTCTTGCAAATAAATTTCGAGAATTTGTCTAAACGAAAAATGTACACGACGTGAGTGGTAAGAAGAAGCAGCAGATACAGTAGTCAGCAGGCACAGCTGTTTTTTGTTTAGCATGCAGCGTTGCCACCTAACGACGCGAGCGGCGATGGCGCTTCAGATGTGCAGTGACGACACAAAGTGTGGTTAGTGTAGATAAACTATATGTTGATGGTATCTTGTGTGAGTAACATTTGTAAATATAGTGTGATTAATAATTATTTCATTTTTTAAATAACTTTTTCAGCTACCACTAGGAAATTTTGTTTTATTTTTATTGTGTGTGAGTGCCCTGGCAGCCCTGGCAAACAGCTGATTCTCACTTTTTGTTTTGCACGCTTCACTGCGTTATCTATATTTATCGGCGAATCGGTGTTTATTTAATTTAAAAACCGCAAAATCCCGTGTACTTATCAGCATTATTGACTATCAATGTTGTATTAATAGCCGTGAACGCTGCACCAACAATGGCTGCGTTGCCTGTTGCCGTACATCCGCTCACCAGCGACCCAACCGCCGCCTGGAATGAGATCAGCAAAAGCCAGCGGGTCATCAAGGTTGTTATGAAGCCACCGACCACAACGGTGGCTCCCAATAAGGCTCGCGTGGTCTGCATGTCGGATACCCATTCACTGACGCCCTACATTAAATTCGATATACCCGATGGTGATATATTCATACATGCCGGCGACTTCACCAAGTGTGGACAGCTGCAAGAGGTTGTGGAGTTCAACAATTGGATCGGAGCCTTGCCGCACAGGCACAAAATCGTGATTGCGGGCAATCATGAGCTCAGCTTCGACCGCACCTTTACGCATCCCCTCCAGAACAAGGCGCATGCAGACCGGTAAAAATGAGCTAGCCTAGGATTCAACTTATGTTCTAAAATATTTTCTTCACTTTTCAGCTCCAAGCACACAGGCATGAGTATTTTAGATGATTTGCCCACGTTGGGCAATGACAAACAGAGCATGGAGAGCGCCGTAAAGACGCCGAATATACGAGAGGCCTTAACCAACTGCATCTATCTGGAAGATGAGCTGCTTGAGCTGTGGGGCGTCCGCATTTATGGTTCGCCCTGGCAGCCAGAGTTTTGTCGCTGGGCTTTCAACGTGCCGCGAGGCGCTGCCTGTCTAGAGAAGTGGAATCAAATACCCGCTGGGGTTGATATACTAGTCACTCACACGCCGCCCGTCGGCCATGGCGATCTCTGCTGCTCCGGCGTACGAGCGGGCTGTGTGGAACTGCTGAGCACAGTGCAGCAGCGTGTGAAGCCCAAATACCATGTATTTGGCCATGTGCACGAAGGATATGGCATAACGAGCGATGGCAGGATCATCTATGTGAATGCCTCCACTTGCGATATCAACTATTTGCCCAACAATGCGCCCATTGTGTTTGATGTGACGCTTCCGCCCGGCGTGCGCAAGGATTAGGTTGCAGTCGTAGCATGCCCCCAACCGATTTCTATTTATTCAATCTACGCTTAAGTTGCCATTTCAACGGAACAAGGAATTTATTTTACACTGCACTGCAAATTATTTTAAGTTTGACAAATAATAGAACCACAAAACCCCTTAAATAATGCTCATTGAATGACCTCGTTGCCAAGTCAAATGTCAAGTTTCAAACCAATTGCTGATCGAGAATGCAACTCTTCAATGTCCTGCACATTGCAAATTGACTTAGTCAAGTTTCAAACCAATTGTTGATTTCAATGTGAAATCTGCAGAGAATTGAGAGCTTTTTTTATGAGTTCAAAGCGTTCCATCCCTGAATCAATTAAATGTCCTGCATATTGCAACCCTGACCTAGTCAAATTTTGAACCATTCCAATGCGATCGCAAATGCAACTCTGCAGCAAATTCTGCATTCTTCGAGGGTTCGCTTTTGCGCCATTCGTTCTAACGGCATCCATCCAGCGCCATCGCTGCCGCCATTTTGTTCTGCAACGTGGCCATCGAAAGAAATTCAATTTGAATTTCTTGCGAGCTGTTCACGAAAGTTTTGCTTTTAAATTGTATTTTTGCGTATATTAATTAGCTGTAATTTGGCATACGAAACTATGGTGAGCGATCTAAATAAATCATTGGTCCTTCCACACCCAGAACACAAATTGATTTGAAAATTCTGTTAAAGCGCGAAGTCATTTCCATACAAATTGGGCAATGCGGCACGCAGATCGGCAACGCCTGCTGGGAGCTCTATTTGCTGGAGCATGGCATCAATCTGGATGGTAGTCGCAAAACGGATGCGCAGCAGGTGGAGAGTGGCCGTGGCGCGAGTGTTGGCCAAGGCACCTCCGACAATGATGCACATACCTTCTTCATGGAAGCGGGCAATGGGAAGCAGGTGCCCCGCTGTATCTTTGTGGATCTGGAGCCATCGGTGATAGATAGCGTACGCACGGGTGCCACGCGGTATCTGTATCACCCGGAACAGCTAATCTCCGGCAAGGAGGATGCAGCAAATAACTTTGCCCGTGGACGCTATTCGATTGGCAAGGATGTGCTCGATCGGGTGACAACGCGTCTACAGAAGATTGTGGAACAATGCGATGGTCTTCAAGGCTTCCTCATCTTCAACTCGATGGGCGGCGGCACTGGCTCCGGCTTTACCTCGTTGCTAATGGAGTCGCTGTCCAATGATTTCAGCAAGAAGTGCAAACTCAACTTTGGCGTCTACCCCTCACCGAAGGTGTCCACAGCTGTGGTGGAGCCGTACAATGCGTTGCTAACGACACACTCGACCATGGAGCATGCGGACTGCGTCTTTATGGTGGACAACGAGGCCATCTACGACATCTGCAAAAGCAAACTGGGCGTGGACAGGCCGGCGTACAACAATCTGAATCGCCTGATTGCCCAAATAGTTAGCTCGACGACTGCCTCGCTGCGTTTCAGTGGCTCCATGAATGTAGATCTGAATGAGTTCCAGACGAATCTCGTGCCCTTTCCTCGCATACACTTCCCCCTGGTCGCTTATGCCCCGCTGATGTCCGCGGATCGGGCTGCCCACGAGCAGCATGCGATCACCACGCTTACGAATGCCTGCTTCGAGTCCTCCAACATGATGGTGAAATGTGATCCACGAGCTGGCAAGTTCATGGCCTGCTGCATGCTCTTCCGCGGCGATGTGGTGCCCAAGGATGTGAACGCTGCGATCTCGGCAATCAAATCGAAGCGGCATATCCAATTCGTTGACTGGTGTCCCACGGGCTTCAAGATCGGCATCAACTACGAAAAGCCGGCCTTTGTTCAGGATGGCGATCTGGCTCCCACCTCTCGCGCCTGCTGCATGCTCTCCAACACGACGGCCATCAGCGTGGCCTTTTCCAATCTGGCCTACAAATACGATCTGATGTTCAAGAAGCGCGCCTTCGTCCATTGGTATGTGGGCGAGGGCATGGAAGAGGGCGAATTCAACGAGGCTCGGGAGGATATAGCAGTGCTCGAACGTGACTTCAACGAAGTGGGTCTGAACAACGATGAGGAGGACGACGAAGAGTACGCCGAGTTCTAAGCATCCTTTCTTTATCAGTAATATACATTCTAACTCAACCTAATCTCAGCTGTCACAATAGATCTATTTATGAGTTCCATAACAATATATCCATAAAGATTCCGTTTTAAATTGTAAAAAATAGCCTAGATAAGTATCATTATATAGTATATTATCTTGAACTAGTTTCCCGGGCTCTGTCGTTCCCGACAATTTCTAATCAGCGCCTCCCAAAATTCGAGTGTTGTATTTATATATTTCCATATAAGTCATATAAGTCTTAAATGTATATACTATACTATATATTACATGTAGCTCTATGGATCAATAAAGGAACTCTACTAAATGAAGCAAAACGAAAATGAATTTTGTGAATCTAAAAAATTAACTGAAATAATAAAGAACAAAAGTTCTTATCACACCAAGAGACTACAAAAAAAAAAAAAAAAAAAAAAAAAAAATTATAACAATTGAAAAAAGCCGATTGTTGGCTCCATAAATAACAAAACAATTTTCAAAATCTTTTATGGTCAGTAATATAAGTAGAGCAATAAAATGATACTGATTTATCCCCTGTCCCTCTCCCTGTCACATCCTCTTGCTCACCGCCTAATGATTTCAAGACTGAGTCCGAGCTCTTTTAATGTAATATAATTATAAAATCAATGAACTTTTTCTTTTCAGTTTCTTTTTAACTTTTTTTTTATTTTTTGTTGTAATTTTTGTTGTCGTTTTTTTTTTTTTTCTGTTGTTTGTTTTAAACGTCTAGTTGCTAAATTTTCTTTTCAATTGTATTTTTACTTATTTACTTAAATTTACTAAAAGTTTTTAGTTTGTTTTAATTTTTCTTTTCGTTTTGAACTTGCAAAGCATTTTTTCTCATCAAAACTTATTTTAAGGAAACATCAAAAATTTTCTTGTTGCACAGTGTAAAATTACAATTCGTGTGTGTGTGTGTGTGTGTAAGTGTATGTGTTTTTTTTTTAACTATATAATCTATACAACTAATTTTCTCTCTAAGAGCTGATAATCTTTTACAAAATGCGAATTGTTTAAAAAGAAAAACAAAATTGTTTAACAAATAGAAAAATGTTTGTTTGATTTGAAGGCAATTAAGTGTGCAATTGTTGTTATATACTTTATGCTACTTTATATAATTACATAATGACGCTTTCTTGTTGCTGTTTATATCATAGTTAATAGTTAATAAAAATATAATATTTATAACGATGAATGAATGGCAAAGAGATGCTTTCAATTAAATTTCTATTGATTATTTGCAATTGGTTTTCTTGTTGTTGTTGTTGCTGTTCTTCTTCTTGTTATGATTGTAGTTCTTGAAGTTGTTGTTGTTGTGGTATTTAACGTTTAATATGGAACATTTGAGAAGAGATACGAGACACTCTCGCCATTGTGTGTTCGTCTAACAGCCTCGGCGAACATCATAGACACATCAATGCACTGCAAAAGAGGGGAGAGAGAGAGAGAGAGAGAGAGAGAATTGTAGTGAAAGTAAGAGATGGAAAGTTATACCAGCTCACCTGTATTTTGGGACAATCACGCATATGCCCGTCCTGTGGTATAGTATTGGTCACCACAACCGCCTCAAAGCAGGCATTGTTAATGCGCGAAATCGCCGGACCCGAAAAAATGCCATGCGTCAATATGGCATAAACCTGGGCACATGGAACAATTATTAATGATCAAGAAACTCTAGCGAAAGCACCGTTAACCTACCTTAGTGGCACCCGCCTCTACCAGACGATCGGCCGCATGGACTATGGTGCCGCATGTATCGGCCATATCGTCCACCAATATGGCAATCTTATCCTTAACATCACCCACAAGCACCATCGAAGCGACCTCATTGGCCTTCTTGCGCTCCTTGTGTATCAGCGCGAATTCCACATTCAAGCGATCCGCTATCGAGGTAACACTGTAAATAGTTTATACACATGAATATATATATATATATATAGAAGAGTGAGAACGAAAGTAACTCTTACCGCTTAGCGCCGCCGGCATCGGGCGATACAATGATCGAATTCTTCCATTCGGGAATGTTCTCTTTGATCCATTTGAGTACCGCCGGCTCGGCATAGAGATTATCAACTGGTATATCGAAGAAACCCTATACAAAAACAAAAAAAAAAACAAAAAAAAATATTCATATAGCAACAGGGCATAATTGTGTCAACGCATTTGCTCCACAACATTAGTTTTTCTACTCTCAGCTAATTTGTATTTCCAAAAAAAAACTTTTAGTTGCATTATCTGGCTATAAACTTCTAAACAAACAGGAGCAAAAACAAATTGAAAGTTTCTCTTTTATTTTCGATATCGAACAACATATATTTATATGTATATAGATATATACATATATCTAATGCTAATGTCAATGCGTATGCCATAAACGGAACGGAACGGAACGGAAAAGATGTCGAATTTGCACAAATTGACGCCCGAGGAGCATAAGGAGCTGAGCGATTGGCTGGTCGGCAAAAGGATCGTCTTGAATCATCGCACCAGACGCGATCTATCCGATGTGGTCAATATGGCGCTGCTCTTTAAGAGTGTCGTTGGCAAGATGGTCAACATGAAGCACTACACGTCTCACGGCCAATTGGCAAAGAAGGTACTCAACTGGGAGACATTCAGTCTGAATGTGTTACGTAAAACGAATCTGATCCTGATGCGGCCCGCACTGGAGCTGCTCGCCTCGGGCGACATGAATGCCATATGCTCGTTGCTCTTTCATCTGATGCGCACCGAGCGGGATGGCATACAGCTCGGCTCACGTCGAGCATCTCCATCAAGGACCAGGAGTCAGCAACAGTCGTCCAGCGATGCTGCAACACAATCTCAGGAGGCTCCTGTACATTCGAAGCACGTGAATACACACTCCCAGACCTCCACCCAAACGACGAACGATGCTCCGTTGCCGTTGCCGTTGCCGTTGCCGGCACCAGACGAAAATGCGAATGATATCAACATGTTACAGACTCCCACACAATCGAAGATGGATCTGCAGGCGGAGTCTGAAAATGCGCAATTGGCGCACCAATTGAGAGTGACCACTGA